GTTTTTAATGATTCTTTTGATGATTGTCCTTTGCAGGATGATGCAACACCAGATATTTCAACTATAGATATGTCAGACGTCGAATCACTTGTATTAGACTCACCAATAACAGATAATGAAATATCAGAAGCGTTATCAGCTGGTTTTGACCTCGTCGTGGTGGAAATGCTTAAAAGTTCAGAGTTTGTTATCATGCCCTTTTTGAATAAGTGTTTTAATAAATTGTTTGAAAATGGTATTTTCCCCCCTTGTTGGGCGCGATCAATTATTGTTCCCTTACATAAGAAAGGTGATGTCACCAATCCAGATAATTATAGAGGAATTTCCCTTATGAGTATTTTAGGTAAAGTCTTGACATCTGTTCTAAATACCAGACTCACTAAATGGGCAAGTATGACAGATAAAATTCCCGAATCACAAGCAGGCTTTAGAAAGAAATATTCAACTTCTGATCATATCTTTACACTATTTGCACTAGCCCAGAAATGTCTATCCCGTCGTAAGCGTAAATTATGTGTAGCTTTCGTTGATTTCCGTAAAGCATTGATTCTGTCAATCGTTCTAAATTGTGGTATTCTTTAAGTAATGCTGGCCTGAAAGGTAGAATGTATTAAATTTTAAAAGCAATGTATACTAATGTGATAGCCTGTGTACGTTGTGGTGATGATAAGACTGATTTTTTCGACTGCCCCGTTGGCTTAAGACAAGGATGTGTTGTGAGTCCAATTCTATTTTCCCTGTTTTTATCAACGAATTGTACTACGATATTATCGCAGATGGTAAGCATGTCATCCAAATATTTCCAGATCTCTTAGAACTGTTTATTCTTTTATTTGCTGATGACGTAATTCTTTTATCAGAATCTGTAGTTGGACTACAAACCCAGTTAAATATTTTGGAACGGTATACTAAAACTTTGGATTTATCCGTTAACCTAGATAAAACTAATATTGTTATATTTAGAAAAGGTGGCCGGATATCTTCTAAAGAAATGTGGTCCTTTAATGACCAACCTGTAATTGTCTCTGATCATTACACTTATTTTGGTATTAAGTTTACATCTGCTATGAACTGGAAAACATCTGTTACTGAATTATCATTGAAAGCTAAGAAAGCATTGATAAGTCTTTTATCTGCCTTGTGTAAAATTGGTGTGTTGACGCCCAGTATTTAGTTTAAACTATTTGATCGTCAAATTCAGCCTATTCTTTTGTATGGATCCGAGATTTGGGGATTCCAGAGATATGAATTCATAGAAAAAAATACATCTGATGGCCTGTAAGAAATTCTTAAATGTAGGACCCTCTACACCGAATTGTATGGTGTACGGTGAATGTGGGAGGTATCCCCTGTATATAAATGCTCATATTTGATGTATAAAATTCTGGTTTAAGATATTGTGTATGCAAGAACATAGATTACCCAAAAAAGGCTTATAACATGCTTGTTCATTTGGACAACATTGGTAAAGTGACGTGGGCATCTTATGTAAGAAATTTTCTGTTTTCACATGGTTATGGTTTTGTATGGTTAAGTCAGTCAGTTGGTGATGCAAGTTTGTTTTTAACTCAGTTTCGAGAAAGAAGTCTTAATATGTTTAATCAAGAATGGTATTCAGTAATACATAATAGTTCACGGTACGACTCTTATAGAATATACAAATCACTACTCCAGCCGGAGAAATATCTGTCGTTTTTAACATCAAAGAAATTAAGATATCCATTTATACGTTTTAGGTTAGGTTTGATCAACATAATGGTAAACGAAGGAAGACGTTTTTATATTGAACGATGCAAGAGAATGTGCCCACTGTGTAATATAGATGTGGAAAATGAAATCAATTTTTTTACTTGTATGTCCTTTGTATAAAGATTTGCGTACGAAATATATAGCTGAATATTATCTACGTAAGCCACCTGCATTAGCATTTAAACTACTTCTTTCATCAACTGACCAGCATGTAATAATAAAGCTGTAGTACTATATCAATTATGCTCTTATTAAACGTAACAATCTGATAAAAAAGTGTTGTAGATCCATCGTATTTCACTACTTGTACATAATTTACTGCCTGTATCATGATTTGCTGTTTGGATCACTAATTACTACTTATTGCACCATATGTATAATGTATGTGTATAACTCCAATGTATATGGGCCGGAGGCCTTTTGTACAATAAACATCTTTGACTTGACTTGTCAATTGAAGTTAATATCGGAGTCATTTTGGCGTATTATTACCATCGTAATTCAAATATCAACAATGTTGACTTCTTACCAGGTACCAACTGATATATATCTGCTTCTAAGAAGGCCAGTATGAGCCACTAATATTTGTTAAGGTTTGTTGGAATCTCTTAAAAAGACAACAAAGAGCCTCCTGTTCTTTAAAACATCCACTGTGTTCTGATTTTATCCCCAAACATTCTATCACTCGAAAATCTGGGTATTCTGAAACATTCTGTGATGCGGGTCGGGTCCTTAAGCTCTGTAACGGACGACGGTTCGATTCCCTCCGCTTTATGTTAAAGGGTGGTACTTATTGTTACCTTGCCTGTTGCTCGGGAACACTAGAATAAAACTTGAGCTAGTCGACGGGGAGTCAGTATACTGAGTGGGGTAGTGATGTCACACGTTCTCAGTGGGCTTGCACTATGTCAACTGGTCTAAATACCTTCTCGTACATAATTGTGATCTGGGGGAATAGATTGAAATAACACTTGTGACATTCTCAAGGTGAGTTCCCGGTTACAAATGTACCTTTAAGGAGACCATTTCTTCAAGAATCCATGTTATACCACACCTTTATTGAACGAATATTGAAGCTGAGGTTATACATTTTGTTGGTTGGTTGGTTGGTTAACGCCGCACTCTGCAATAGTCCAGCTATATGTGGCGGTCTGTAGGTAATCGAGTCTGGACCAGACAATCCATTGATCAATGTCATGAGCATCGCTCAAAGTGCAGTTGGGATACGATGACATGTGTCAGCGGAGTCAGTGAGCCTTACCACCGGGTCCCGTTACCCAGCTGACACAGAACGTTTTCGCATCGTTGTAGGAAGGTTTGGATTGGTAACGTCATGACACAACGTTAGTATTACGTCATTTTATAGCGTTATGTCACAACGTAATATAGCGTTGCAAATTTACGTTGTGGAAACGTTATGCTTTGGGCTACTCACAACGTTATAACAACGTTTCGGATAACTTGGTGTCACGATAGAGTTTTCTGTAAAACGTTTCACTTTGAGACTCTTTCTTCACTATTCAGTTACAGCTTCAGTAAACAGGACCAAAACAACATGCAAATTGACGAATAAACATTGAAGTGAATTTCTACTTTGTTTCTTATGTACTGTTCACTACTGGGAAAACTATTCAACTACAAACTTTAAATAGAACGTTAAGACGACGTAAAATACGCTAGCATCAAATAACTTTAACCATGTGGCGACGTAAACATGGCGTATCACAACGTCAGGCCACAACGTTGAGACAACGTAAATGGGATTCCACAGAATAACGTTGTGACCACGTGAAATTGTGAGCCGATTAGTCGCCTCTTACGACAAGCCTGGGTTGTTGAAGGCCAATTCTAACCCGGATCTTCAGGGGGTCGTTGAGGGTATAAAGGAAGTGTGGTTGAAATGTGATATTTACATGACATCTGGGTGATACAAACTGATGCAACAGTAGTTAGGTCCCTAGCATGGAACCCATTAAACAGAAGGGTGACCGACACTGACATAGCTGCTCCGGTTAGTCATTTCACGTTATTATTCAGGGTTACATTATTATTAAAGGGTCTATAGCAGGTTCACCTGGTGCTGGTCGTATATTTCTGTTATAACTGTTAAGATAATTGCATTAGAAATTGTAGGTCATCAGACTACCGCAGCCTGACGCTATTATATGATTAGTCGTCACAAACATTATCGCATGCTGCACGTGCAATGTACGGGTCAGGGAATAAAGGGCGGCAGTCTTGTCGCAGTCGTCACCCAGTCGACATGTTGTGTGATTTGTGTATGGAACAATCAATGGTAATAATTAACGAACCTAACAATTTCCAAACCATGGCCTATGGCTTGAATATTGGCTTTAAACAACAAACAATAAATAATCAACTCTTCTTTTGAATTTCATGTTTGATTTTACAACTCAATCAAAAAGACATGAGACAATGGCGTTAGAGCAGCTGAATCTAAGTCGTGAACTTGTAACGTGAAGCCATAAGGCGGCTTGTGGGCAGGGGAAAGAGTGAGTATAGCTCTACGCCGTTTTTAGCAATACTCCAGCAATATCATGGCGGGGGACACCAGAAATGGGCTTCACACATTGTATCCATCTGGGGAATCGAACCCAGGTCTTCGACGTGACGAACCAACGCTTTAACTACTAGGATTCAACCATTCATTATGCTGGAGGAGGCCAAGAGTATTCATCGAAACTTTACGACACTCTCTCTCAGAATCAGTTTGCCCATCAATGTTTTGGGGAGTCCCAATCCATAATTTATCGGCGCATCATGTTTTCTGGCCCCGATTTCTCGAAACAAACTTAAGTTTTTACTCAAATTTCAAAATGAGTTGGACAATTTGAAACAGCTGAATTTTCAACTCTTTTAAATAAAAAAGCCCAAACAACTTAAGTAATCTATCCACCAAACACAAATCGTCTACTATGTTTGAGTTTCATATCGATTTTAGTTCATTCTGGGAAATGCATTTTCTCAAATTTGAGTAAAAACTCTAACTTAAGTCGAAACTAAGACTTAAGTTTGTTTCGAGAAATCGGGGCCAGGTTTCCTAAAACTGAGAAAACATTCTTTCCAGTATCTTCGGGAACACTCTGCTCCTCCCGAGGATCACATGATCATCATCTTATAATAAATTATATATTTTATCAACACAAAATATAAGAACTTCGCATCACATGAAAAGCAAGTTTCTGAAGGTCAAAGCTAAAACACATATAAACAAACAAATAACGACGTAATCTGCCTAAATGTGAAAAATAATCTTTGAAGAAAATGTTTCGGCTGTTGACTGCCATCTCAAGTCAAAATTCGACTGACAATATATACCGAGCAGAGCGAGTACTATTCAGGCGAGTCGGACAAAGTATCCCTGCGCTCCAATCGCTCAGCCACGTTTCGTCGGAATCATCGCCCTCATTTGAGCTAGTGGTAGAAACCTATTATGAAGGCGGTTATTCCTAAAAGAATCACTGCATTTATGTCAAGCCATAATTTGGTTTTCGGCTTCTCTTTGATGGAGGTCAGCTTTGCTTGGATGGCCTTGGCCTCATCTTCAGAGAGCCTGTCTGGTCGCTTCTGTAGGCCACAGCATGCTTGCAGTCTGGACAGCCATTCCGGTGCCTCTGAAACAGTAAGCAGTATATCGTCCATTGAGTACCGTGGTTGGGAGTTCTTCTCAGTGACAAATTCACTGAAAGTGTGCTAAAGACGCGGTTAGAATCTCATGGCACTCCTAAAAGGGCCCTAACGGACAACTAAAAAGTAAAGTGTGTGAGAGTGAGTTGTGTTTAACACAGCTTTTAACAGTATTCCAGTTATATCGCGGTGTGTCTGTTTCATAAGGGATGAAAGCCCGAAGTTACAATGTTGTGTCGTCGGTATGAAGCCAACGATAGTTGCCATATTTGGCGTGTGACATATTTGACAAAAAACAAACTCTTTTCCATCCCATTCTTCTTTTCGATGTGTAATAAAACTCTGAGGAACCAGAAAATCATAAATCATATATTATGTATATACCAAGAGCTCGGCTATTATGATGAATAACAAATGTGGTGAATATGTTCTATTTCATATAATAGTGGATATTTGTAAAGCGCCAGTGTCCATCCACTCATGCATGCTCATGGCGCAAATGTTGTGTGTACCGGATCCTGTTATATGTACCGGATCCTGTCACAGTTGAGGGGCGTAAGGCTTCGCAGGGATGAGCAGAGCATAGAACGTATAAACTGTATACGGGCTACATTTATAATCATGATAACATATCGATAATATGTTCGGGAGAAGGCGACCATACGTGGTGCACTTGGGCCCAATCCCTTTATCCTTTGGACAATAAAGTATATTTAAAACAATATATATTCAATTCAATTAGTCAATGCGTCTATATACCAGACAACCTTTCCTTCTGTCGTGACATGAAACCATAAAAGAAATCTGCAAAACAGTTTGATTTTGAGAATACTACATTTCGAGTGGCCAAAAGAATGAATTGACAAGATGGCGTTTGTCAGTTACGATGGTAGAAACGTCAATATTATGTTACCATTTCCATTGTTCGGATCATCACCGGCGTCGGCGTCAGCTTCATCTTCGTCATCAGTCAGATCAGGCAATGTAACGTCATGTCTAGTCCACCACGTGACTCGATGTAACTAAATCGTAATACAACCCGTGAGGAATACACATCTTTAGGAGACACGTGTAAATGACGATCATGTATGTATACAGCAGGCTTTGATCTTCTCACACGATGTCAGCCCGGAGGTAATGCAGAGGAAACATTTGGTTATATTGGGGCGACGTAAGTATGAAACTTACATGGCATAGTAATTGGTATTCCCTGACATAAATAAGCAGATGAGAATGTTTGTCTTAAGTATTACCGGGGCGGTGGGGTAGCCTAGTGGTTAAAGCGTCCGCTCGTCACACCGAAGACCCGGGTTCGATTCCCCACATGGGTACAATGTGTGAAGCCCATTTCTGGTGTCCCCAGCCGCGATATTGCTGGAATATTGCTAAAAGCGGCGTAAAATTATACTCACTGACTCACTTAAGTATTACCGGTATAGAGTAAATGGTTTGTACATTGGGTGAGTGTTATTGAAGAGCTGAGTTCAGCCCTTCATGTGTTTGTGGATGTATGAAGGTAAAAGAACAGGACATTGTGTACTCTGTGTTAACCCGCGTATGATGCATCACAAATCTCCGTTCGTATCATTCATAGGAAACAATGAGTAACCCGTAAGAGTGAGTGAGTGAGCTCAGTTTTACGCCGCTTTTAGCAATATTCCAACAATATCACGGCGGGGGACACCAGAAATGGGCTTTACACATTGTACCCATGTGGGAAATCGAACCCGGGTCTTCGGTGTGACGAGCGAACGCTTTAACGACTAGGCTACCCCACCGCCCAGTAATCCGTTAGAACGTGTGACCTATGGTTTACGGTGTTGTTTATGGAAACATTAACATTGGGTAAACCAATTACAAGCCACAGAATCGATTGCATTTTACGCATTTCATAATAGTCTTCGAACCATAGGCTATCTTTACCACTTGCCATTTCTCATTTCACATTAATATTTTAATTTCATGTTTAGTCTCCATTTACGCCGTACGACATTATAACAAAAGAGTATACAATCAAAGAGTTGCTACCAATTGGACATAGAATTAGGATTTAGGTCGAACTCAGAAGACATCAGAATTGGGCTTCAGATTGTACCCGCCTAAGAAATCGAATAGTGGAATTAATCGTGACTAGAAATACTGTGTGTACTTGGCTGACAATAAACACCGATATACTATAAGCAGCAGCTAAGACAAGCATGTACCTTCGATCTGGGGCGTGACTCAGTCATGAGACTCAGAACGATCATGACCGCGCCCGAAACCGCCGTCTCCATAGCAGACACGTACAGGAAGTGGATCTTCAGGAAGTAGATGCGGTTGTCTTCCTCGCCACAAGGAGGCGCTGGGTAGACAAACGCCAAGATGAGACGCGAAAACCCGACCGCTTGGCCAGCCAACATGCCATAAAAAGCTGCCTGCAAAGGAAGGGTGAGTGAGTGAGGGCATGTTGTTTTAAGCCACACCAGCATTTGAGCAAGTTTGCAGCTATTCACTATATACTGTGTTTTTTCATTTAATATATATCAGATATCTTTTTAAAGTGGCATTTAGAAGTTTGATGATATTCCAGCAACATCACGGCGGGATACACAATGGGCTTATGAATAGACAACTGGTCTTCTTGACGAGCCGACGCTTTAACCATTTCGGTGTAGATCCTAATACTGAATACACATCATTGCGACGTTTCGGCTTGATACTGTTAACATCATTTGCTTGATAAAGGTGTTAGGATCTACTCCGAAACGTCGCATCTGTTGCAATAAAGATGTTGTCTATCCATACAAAGTGTTCCTCTTTATATCAGATATGTTTGTGTTTAAACCATAGTATGTTTGTTGTTTAACGCCGCAATACAGCAGTATTCCAGGAAAGGGGACGGTCTGTAAATAATCATGTTTGGACCAGACAATCCAGTGATCATCATCATGATGAAACGATCTATGCAACTGGGACACGATAACATCTGTTAACCAAGTCAACAGTCCTGACCGCCCGATCTCGTCAGTCGCACATGCACACGCACATGCACGCACGTACGCACGCACTCACGCACGCGCATATTAAGGCCTTCTCTCAAGGTGTCACCTACTCACAGGCTCTGTTGTTCTCTTCCAGAAGAAGCCCATGATGAAGACCATGGCCCAGGGAGGCCCCACCGCCGACATCAGCATCTGCCAGTACTGCCACAGCTGGTCCCCCTGTGCCGCCTGCATGATGGGGATCCATATGACTGCCAGACCCACCAGCACAAGAACAAAACCCTGGAGACACAGACGTCTTCAGTGAGTGAGGTGAGTATGGCTTAACGCCGCTTTTAGCAATATTCCAGCAATATCACATCGGGGGACACCAGAAATGGGCTTCACACTTTGTACTCATGTGGGGAATCGAAACCGGGTCTTCGGCGTGACGAGCCAACGCTTTAACCACTAGGCTACCCCACCGCCCCCACAGACATCTTCAGTGACTACCGACAATCACACCATGCATTAAGATGTATACATATACTGAACTCCATTAGAAACGCATCACCGGGATAAAACGTTTTATCTCCCTGATATATGAAGAAAAGAACTTGTCCCAACTGTCAATGGGATGGAAACACTGAAAACCCCAGTCCTTCGTTTAATGCCGCCATTGCAAAACATTACACTCGGGGTGTGGTCTTTTTCATTTTCAAAACATTTACAGTGTGTGTCAGGAACGTCTGTGGTGTGTGGTGTGTGTATGTGTGCGGCTGCTCCGCCATTGCAAAACATTGCGTCAATGCGTGCGTTATTTTCAGGGTGGGTGGGTGTGGGTTGGGCGGGGGGTGTAGGGTCACACTTCCTGAACCCCACCTCGTCTTCCTTACACGAGTGAAGAAATGGAAATGTAATCATCTTGTGCCATTTTATCGTAGGCTCTGTGATAACCTGACGATATTTGAATTGTGACTATAAAACCTTCTGGCCACTTGACCTGTAAACAAACCAGTCTCAAGAAACCAAACAGGTCCTTCTCTCTCAATACAGTGACATTATGTAAAGTCGACAATTAAGCGCTGTTCAAAAGTTAGCCGTGACTTGGTACAGAGTTGAATAATCTGTCAATATGTTGTTTTCGTTTTCTTCATTAATTTTTCATTTCACGCGATTTACAGCTGAAAAGGTGGTAGCAGCAAAGGTTGGGTCACGCGATCACACAGATATGCGCGTGCTTCTCTGTGTGCACCACCGTTATCTGCCACAGTCCAGCAATATCACGGCAGTTTATGTTCAGAAACAGTCTCTTTACATTATTCCATAACTAATGATAAAAGGGTGATCGGCGTGACGAGCTATTGGATTTCTGTATGTACCCACCGCTCCGCGATCACAGGGAGATGCACGCGTGCTTCTCTGTGTGCACCACCGTTATCTGCCACAGTCAGAATACTTCACGCTCAGTTTATGTTCACAATTCTCTTTACATATTCCATAACTAATGATAATAGGGTGATGCGTTTCTATTGGATTTCAGTATATATATAAAACGTCAGAGTCAGAAACTAGCCCAAACTGAAACACACAACTTTATGGATGACAACTTCTTGTTCATTGCATAGAGCGACGTTTCCATGTAGATGTAGATTCTTACACCGTTATCAAGCTAAAAGACGCCGAACCAGATTAAGAAGACCTTGAAGGGAAATTGATATTCATATGAATTATTAATCAATGATGACATCACTTGTTCTCAAAAATGAGCTGCCCTCAAACTAACGCCAGCTTAATCGTGATCAGATCGGCAACCGCTCCCGAAAGTTCTGCTGCGAATCGGGTCGCAATTGGATCGCAATCACCTGTCGCGCCAGGTCGTAATCAAGCTTGTAGGTGCGGAGTATATTTTGTATAAATATACACGAAGTATGCATACTGTGGATAATTATGACGTCTCCTGTGACAAAAGATTAACATTAGTATTAACTGCTGGCGATATGCATATGACATTCTGTCGCCTTTCATATGTCCTGTTGAACATTAACATCGATATTGGTCACCCAGATGAGGCCTTCAAACACCGGGCTGTACACTTACATACAGAATTATTCACCCACATATCGTCTGTCATATGCCGAGCTGAAAAATTAGTTATTTATTCAAATAACTCCGTTATATATCACGTGCTGAAATGTACACACTGGGTATCCTAATTTATTATCATATGAACTATATGCTAACATGTGTGATATTTGGAATTACACTTTTTGAGTAAAGTACAAAATCTGGTACTTTTGTTGGGTTGAGTCCCGTCCGAAACCACACCCTCAGAGTCAGGCACCTAATGGCCAGCACACAACCTCAGCCGTCTAACCCACTCAGCCACCACAACTTCCACTTGTGAAGTATCATGGATGGAGGTCACACAACCACACACCCAACACACAGCCACGAAGACCTACACATCAAACACACAGCCGTATACATCTACACACCCAACACACAGCCTCACACCCAACACACAGCCACAAAGACCAACACATCAAACACACAGCCGTATACATCTACACACCAAACACACAGCCTCACACCCAACACACAGCCACAAAGACCAACACATCAAACACACAGCCGTATACATCTACACACCCAACACACAGCCACACACCCAACACACAGCCACGAAGACCTACACATCAAACACACAGCCGTATACATCTACACACCCAACACACGCCTACACACCCAACACACAGCCACGAAGACCTACACATCAAACACACAGCCGATACATCGACACACCCAACACACAACCACACACCCAAAACACAGCCACGAAGGCCTACACATCAAACACACAGCCGATACATCTACACACCCAACACACGCCTACACACCCAAAACACAGCCACGAAGGCCTACACATCAAACACACAGCCGATACATCTACACACCCAACACACAACCACACACCCAACACACAGCCACGAAGGCCTACACATCAAACACACAGCCGTATATATCTACACACCCAACACACGCCTACACACCCAACACACAGCCACGAAGGCCTACACATCAAACACACAGCCGTATACATCTACACACCCAACACACGCCTACACACCCAACACACAGCCACGAAGGCCTACACATCAAACACACAGCCGTATACATCTACACACCCAACACACAGCCACACACCCAACACACAGCCACGAAGACCTACACATCAAACACACAGCCGTATACATCTACACACCCAACACACAGCCACACACCCAACACACAGCCACGAAGACCTACACATCAAACACACAGCCGTATACATCTACACACCCAACACACACACACCCAACACACAGCCACAAAGACCTACACATCAAACACACAGCCGTATACATCTACACACCCAACACACAGCCACACACCCAACACACAGCCACGAAACCTACACATCAAACACACAGCCGTATACATCTACACACCCAACACACAGCCTCACACACCTACACATCAAACACACAGAGGGGCGATGGGGTAGCCAGTGGTTAAAGCGTCCGCTCGTCACGCCGAAGACCCGGGTTCGATTCCCCCACATTGGCACAATGTGTTAAGCCCATTTCTGGTGTGCTCCGCCTTGATATTGCTGGAATATTACTAAGAGCGACGTAAAACCAAACTCAGTCAGTCAGTCACACACACAGCCACACACGCCTACACACTGAACACCCAACAACACACCAAACACACAGCCACGAAGGCTACGCTGAAATTGATCACTTTTGTGACTACGCACCTCCCAACAATGAGCAGCTCGAAGTCCTTGGCGTGTTTCCTGTACCTCCTCCACAGATCCATGGTGAAGATGCTGCTGGCGGAGTTGAAGACTGATGTCAGCGTACTCATCACTGCTGCAAACAGGGCGGCCAGCATCAGACCTCTCAGGCCTGAAGTGAGTGAGGGAATTGGACTTACGGTCATTCAACAACACCTATTCATAATATAGTACACAGCTATGCTTTTATCAGTGAATTTGTGTGGACATAGTAAAGGTTTCCCCATCTTAACATCTCGCGTTAATTCGCCATATTCAAGAAATAGTGATTCGAAAGAAATATCCCGGCGGTGGGTCTTCTTCGTATGTGACCTTCACACATTATACACATGTGGGGAATTACATACCCACATACCAGAATGTTTGAAATACATAAAAACAGGGCAGCTGACATCAGATCCCAGACCTACATTCTGTTCAGGACATTTTTTGAGAACATTAACTAGGCCTAACAACAGTTTTGACAATAATGACATTATCGTTCACGGGATATCAAGGATGCCCCCAAATAAGTGAGAATGTGCTAGTTCCTCTCCTTTCAGATAAACAATTGTGTGTTAAAAGGCTGTCACAGAAAACAAATCTCCAAGAACAGCTCCTAACAAAATTAATGGTCAGTGATTGGAGTATCAAACAACAGGAAACTCCTGGAACAGTCCTGCTCTGACCATAGGGATTTCTTATGTCCCTGACCCCATATCTTAAATAATCGAGCATAACAATCACTACTTCGAGATTGTTGATGATGGCGGTTCGGGGTTTACCTGGGCCGAGGATTCTGAGGACGAGTAATGGGTAGGCAATGTTTGAGCATCCGCTTGGATTTTCACAGACACACTTGCATACCTCCGGATCTGCGCATGCGACTTCATCTGAAACAGACACCGGTTATTGACTTTCATGTAGTGAGCAACGTTACTTTGTGGAATTGATGGGATTTAAAATGCCACCTTTTATGGAATGATGCAAATTAGTAAAATTGTTACCCTCCCTGGCGCTGGACATGAAGAGGCCAGTCCAAGGACTGTATACTGTGTCTGACTGAAGTATCAAACTGTGGCATCGCAGTGGACAGACAATACAATATACCGACATTAGTACGACACACATGTCGCTGGACATGAAGAGGCCAGTCCAAGGACTGTATACTGTGTCTGACTGAAGTATCAAACTGTGGCATCGCAGTGGACAGACAATACAATATACCGACATTAGTACGACACACATGTCGCTGGACATGAAGAGGCCAGTCCAAGGACTGTATACTGTGTCTGACTGAAGTATCAAACTGTGGCATCGCAGTGGACAGACAATACAATATACCGACATTAGTACGACACATGTCGCTGGACATGAAGAGGGCAGTCCAAGGACTGTATACTGTCTCTGACTGAAGTATCAAACTGTGGCATCGCAGTGGACAGACAATACAATATACCGACATTAGTACGACACACA